GAAAGCAGTGTTAGGGGAGTTTTGAAGGTATCGGATTTGGAGATTTCTGGAAGGAGGGGATGGTGTTGTCTTAAGGGTGGCCTGGGGGGTGGGCAGTGGGAGGAGGGACGCCCAGCCTTGGAGAGGACGTAAAGGCCGTTGATGCCAGGAGTAGCCATGGTGGAATGCGAGGGTGTGGGAGAAGGAAAGGGAGATGGGATTAGCAGCAGGTAGAAGCATGGGGCGTGGGGGTGTGATGTGAGTGTGCGCTGTGTGTGCATAGTCAGTGTATGTGGCTTGTCGGGAGCGTGTGGGTGTGTGTGTGTGCGCGCGGATGCTTGGAATATGGCATGTGTCAGGTATGTTTGTGCATGTGTTTGGTATGTGTGTGCACGCTGTGTTTACCGGACAGGGAAAAGCTGGAAGATAAACAAGGGAGGTTCATTAGGGAGAAGGGAGCTGGGTGAGGGAGGAATAAAGGCCAAATGTGGCAGACAATGGGAATGTAGTAAGATGAGAAGGTAACACAGTAGTCTATAGCAGGAGAGAAAGGACTAGAAGCCAAAAAAATTAAAAATGGAGTGAGGGAGAAGTGGGAGGATCCTGAGAAACAAAGGGGGTAGGGCTATGAAGGCTACTGGGTGTGGGGATTCAGGAAAAGCCAACCAGAAGAGAAATGAGGGTGGAAGACTGCAGAGCTATTGGAAGGGGCAGGCTTGAAGGGGCCTTAGAGATGAGGCCTTTCAAGCCCAGTTGGATCAGAATCACCTGATGAGCTTGAGGAAAAATATGGATTTCTGGCCTAATCACCATAACAATGAAAGATCCCCAGGAATCTGCATTTAACATGCTACTTCTCCAGGCCAATTCGAGATGCAGCCTGGTTTTATAGAACACATATTTGCAGTGGAGGAAGAGATTTTAGCTCCTCCAATATGGACTCCTCTAAAACCAAGGAGCTCTGGGAGTATATACACACTGACCACCTCTCTTTCCTGCTGCCCTGGAGAGAGAAGAGTATAGAAGGCAGCAATCTGGCCATCTCCACTCCCACTTTGTTTTACTCTCCCAGTCCAACTAATCAAAATCAGATGTGTTAAAATTGTTAAGGAACTTTCCCATTTAGCAATTTTTCCTTGTGGATCATTTAGATATACTTTCTGCAGACACATAACTATCAAAATAATTTGAAGACCACACCTACATTATTTGTCACTTATGGTGGCACACCTAGAGGCATTATCAATAAATATAATCATGTAAATAATTGTTATTACTGAGCTGCACCATAAAGCAGTCAAAACACAAGCATGTGGGGCATCATCATATGATTTTAGTTTGCAAAGTCATTGAGCGGAATGTAGGCCTGTGCAAAAAGCACAAAATTGGGAGTCGAGCAACCTGGGTTCGAGCCCTGGTTGGGTCATTGACCAGCTGTGTGACCCAGTGTCAAGCATTGTTCTCTCTGGGCCTTAGTTGTCCCTCTTTAAAATGATGGCCCCTGTGAGATCTCTAAGTCTCTACCCTGCACTGTCATCCTGTAAGCCCATGAATATGTGACATTGTGTGGAAAGGATACTTCATATTACAAAGGATTCCTAGGAATTATTCATTCTAGTGCCTCGCCTATGCATGGCACTTTTGTAGGTGCTGGGACTATGGCAGTGAACACATGCACACACACACACACACACACACAAAAAAAAAAACTCCCACAAATCTCTGCTCATGGAGCTTACATTCTAGTTAATACACATTCTTCAAAGTCCTTTAATGTTCCTCTCAGACTGTGGTTAAGTATTCTGTGAATTTCTGAAATGGTGAGGTCCAAACCAATACAATTGGCCTATTTTTAAGCACTAGGTGCTACTATTCCTATTAGAAAACTATGAAGGTTTTTTTTTTTTTACCTTCTCTGGTGGAAATAGTAGCATATACTAATAATCACAATTTAAAATAACCATTTTTTTAGAATCTTACTTGCATTTCAAAGTTGAACATAAATTTCATCTAATTTGTAAAAAATAAAAAATCCTGGTGGATTGAGGTTTCAGCTGGCCAGGCCATATTGAAACTTGACCAATACTTTTACAAACTTTAATGTCAGGTTTGCTACTCAATCAACCTTTGTGGAAACACATTGTTTAAAGTACACTAGATTCTTTTCATTTATTTGTACAATATTTAAGCAAGTGTAAATATCCACTTTAAGTACCTACACAATGATTCACTACTCTCTTAGATGGAATTATTTTGAGGTATTTTGAGGTATTAATTTTAGGATTTTTAATCTTCCTTCAAGCCCACCAAAAACAGAGTGACAGAGATTATCTCTGTTCTACCTCATCTTTATTGACAGTGAAGATTATGTAACTTGTGGATAGATTTCTGCACCACTGATAATCTCATAAAAGAATTTATCCTGCAGATGCCACGTTAATGTTTAATACATTCTTGCAACCAAAGATCTCTGTCGACATTTATAAGGAAATGTTATCATTTACTAAAACCATGGTGTTTATTATCTTAAGAAACCATAACTTTCACTGTGGTAGCCCCAGTGCCTAGAACAGAGCCAGGCTCTGTTTTCAATCTCCTAAAGCTGAATTGTGACCCGTGTACTTAGTATTATCTTGTATTAGTCCCTACCAGCCCCCTTCCCCCCACCCCGGGAGATCATCATTTATGGCTTTTTTATTAGCTATTTGAAAAATCACAGGAAATGCATGATAATGTATAATATTTTGATTGTTTTAGTTATCTAAATAAGTTTAATAACAACAGGCCTTGTAGTATCCACTACATAATGATCAAAGTATCAACATCACTTATGGTTTCCAAATGAAATTGGATATTCCAAAAAGGGGCTTTTGATGTTGATGGGTAAGGAAGCCATTTTCTGTGTATGAACCACAGAGAAATTGACTAATAAAGATTCTGTCTTTGGTGTTGTTTTGTTTTTAAAGAGGGGCCATATGGGGTCTTTGCCGGAAGAGATGCATCCAGGGGCCTCGCCACATTTTGCCTGGATAAGGAAGCTCTGAAGGATGAGTATGATGACCTTTCTGACCTCACTCCTGCCCAGCAGGAGACCCTGAGTGACTGGGACTCTCAGTTCACTTGTAAGCATTTTTTTTAAGTTATGGCTGTATCAAATTTCGACCAGTAATGGGATTCACAGAAGTCCAATAGTTATTACTAAATAACCTGAAACTTGGGAGCATTTTGATAGGCTCCTGAATCTTAGACGGATCAAGTTCATGGCTTGAAGTAATTGCAGTAGTGCTGAGTCACTTGCCATGACTGCATACCAATTTTTAGCTTGTTCTCTATGGAATCTCGGGTTTCTGGTTTTTTTAGTTTTTGAAAGGTTTGCACAGATTCCACACTACGATTTGGTGACTGATATGAGGGGAAAGGCGAGCGGCCATCATGGCTACAGAAAGAGGGGTTTTCATAAGCCCTCTCTTGTAGAGCTTACTGTTTAAAAGCAACCCACATTTCTGCTAAAGAATAGGAGACTTGTATTCTATAAAACAGCTTCTCTTTGAATCTAACTGAGCCTAAATATAGGCTTCGTCTACAAATAAATGATGCTTATAATATGCCCAGCAACAACGGTGTCTGCATTTTTAAAAAGGAAAAAAAAACGGAGACACTTGTTTCCTGGCTTCTGCTATGGGCTGAGGTCTTTGGAGGAGAAGTAAGTTTGGAGGTTAAGTTCAAATTTTGAGCACTGAGAAATTGATTTTTGTCAAACCTAAGTGTTTAAAGATACCTTTAGCAATATTTCATTGCTAAGAATTTGATAATAATCTTTCCCAGCTTTGAAACAGTATATAAAGACCATGATCATTTCTTTAAAGAATTTTTTTCATTTAAAATGTGATTTTCTATTTGCTGTTCCCTATAATCAGTTAAATATTACTGATTATATTGCTTTTTTTCCCCTAAATCCAACCATTTTCTTTGAAACTAATGCTGACTTCAGAGAGAGTTCTTAGTTAATAATTAGTCAGATAAGGCTCTACCTTTAGAGTTTGGATCTCAATCAGATTAAGCATAGCTTTCAAGGCTAGAGGTAAGTCTTTTTACATGGAAAACATAATTTAGCTATCTAACATAGTCCCTCATTTTTGCATCCTCAAGATGCCTTTGCAACAATAGATTCTTCTATATGAAACCAATGAGCTGTAATTTATAACTTACAAAGCTCTATTTTCTAGGGCTTGCCTTCATCAGTGGGGTAAAAAGTGTGGTTCCCATCCCCCCCTTGAACTAAGCTTAGTTCCAATTGCTGTTGTGAAACTTCAGCTTCAGGGTTGCTGTGGATTCCCCTTAAGGCATGTTTCTCAAGCACCCGCAGCTTTTATTTGTCTTGCACAGTCCCAAGCACCCTAGGGACCTTTATAATATGTTCAGATAGGGAAGTTCCAGTTGATCCTGGTGATTATTTCACACAAAAGCAGCTCGGATTACCTTGTTAGACAGGTTGGTACTCCTTTAATTCCTACCCATATTCGGAAAGAGGAGGCTCTGTCCTCTTGGCCTCTGACATGGAGATGATTAACCCTGTGTTAGCTTGGCCACAAGGAAACAGTCATTATGGTGGTGGTTTGCTGACTCCATCTCTTCCCAAGTCTTTTGCATTCCAGTGTATCCTCTTAAATCTGTTTTCTCCAACATCTCCAGTGCTATGCCTCCTTTACCACTTGCTTTAACATCGTATAGCTTTTTCCTCGTGTTGGGGAAAATTTTCATCTCCTGCTATCATCTTCATCCACTAGATATTATCACTCATTCCCTCCACTGTCAAACAACCAGTGGTTGTTCCTAAGCATTGCTTCATTTCCTCTCTGTACCTCCTTACTCCCTACAATATGCTTTCTATCCTCACAATTGGGTTTAACTTTATCAGAGTTTTGCAAGGACCTACTTACCAATACTAATTTATCCAGTCCTTGTAATAAATCCATCCTGTTCCTCTCCAGAGTCCCCATTTCGGTCCATGGAATCTCCAATTTTCACTTCATTAACTCATGTTTGCAGTTATCCTTTAAATTACCATATGTTCTTCCCTTTCCCTTTCCATACCAACACCCCCCTACTCCTGACTCTTGATCCTGTGCACCCTTGCTGGCCTCTTTGTCACCCTGTTTCTGGTCTCTCCTTTACTGTCATCTCCCCTCAACACCACAGTGATACCACTGTTGTCAAAGCACTATTTTACCTGGTCCTACCTTTGTCATAAACCTTCAGTGCCCTTTGCCACATATAGAAGTCCAAACTCCTCAGGCTGGCTTTCCACATCCTTTATAATATTTCCCCACACTGCTTAGACAACCTTGCTCCTACTCTACTCCTGCCAACTTGGTCTCTTTATTGCTTCCAAGGTATGTTCAGTCTCACCTGCATGCTTTTGTATATGGTGTTTTCCTACCCAAATCCTTCTGCACATTTTCTAAAGCATATTCTAACTACCTCATAATGAGCCTTCTAAACATTTGTACACTCATTTGTATACTCATTGCACACTCTGTCAGACATCGCTGTTTTATATTTGTCTTCTGAACAAAACTCTGAGAAGCCCAACACATTGCTAAGTAGATTGTAGGCCTCTAATCAATACTTTAACACGAAATGTGGTAGTGACTTGACCATTTTTTTTTCTATCCAGTCAAGTATCATCACGTGGGCAAACTGCTGAAGGAGGGGGAGGAGCCCACTGTGTACTCGGATGACGAAGAACCAAAAGATGAGAATGCTCGGAAAAACGATTAAAGCATTCATGGATGCATATCTATTTGTGTATTTTGCAGAATCATTTGTAACATTCCAGTCTGTCTTTAAAATGTGGTGATTTCAATATTTAGAAAAGTTTTGAACTTGGCTGTAAATTTTTTTAATTAACATCACTAGTGACACTGAAAAAACTAACTTCTTTGAGTGCATGATGTTTGTGTGTCATAAATGCAGAAAGTGAACTGCAGTGCTGTAATACAAATGTTAGTACTGTTTTTCTTCTATCTGTAGTTAGTACAGGCTGAATTTAAATTTGTTTTTCCTAAAAGATAGGTAAGACTTGGGTATTTCCCCCAAATATGTAGAAATGCAAAATGTGCAAAGTCCTTCAAGCACTAAGAACAAAGGATCAACTTTTAGTCATGATGTTCTCTAAAGACAGCAAATTCCTTATTTCTCAATTGATTTAACTGCATGAATTCCATCTCTAAAGCAAATCTGCAGTGTCCCAAAGGCTTTGATATTTATTAAAGAGAGCTGTCCAGTAAGAAAATGAAATCTCAAAGCTGGGCTTAGTTGGAAGAAATACATTAATTGTTTCTAGACAGCATCATTGTCCTCCTTCAGACACTTGGACACCTTCACTAACTGTTCTCTACAGTGAGGATTAAAACATGATCTGAACATTCAAAAGGAAGCTTTGGGGAAAATCAGCTGGCTTGCCTAAAAATCTAAATACATGAAGAACATTATAGGGCTATCTTTTCAATCTCCATGTTCATGGTGGAGCAATGGTTATTTTACATGATTTGACATGAGGGGCATGTAGATCAGGTGATTGCTCTACTAAGAGCCTTCACACCCCCCTGAATAATGAGAAAACAGTGCACATCACTAGCCAAGTGGTTTCTGAAGTAAAGTATATTCATAAAGTGGTAACAGTTAACTCTTTTGTCACAAAACTAGAGCCACTGCAAGAGTAGTAGTCAAGTGTCTAGGTCTTTGATATTGGTCTTATGGTTATCGATAAACTTAGCTAAGTAGACTGTACAGTTGTATGAATTTGTGTTATGTGAACAACTAGTGAAGTTTCAAACTCTTGTAATTGTAGTTGAATAGTATTTTCCTTGTATTTTCTTGTGAACCATGTTTAATGGTTTTACCTCAAATCAGAAAACAAAATGAAGTGCTTTGGTCAGTTAATAAAATGGTTTTACCCAATATAGTGTGGTGGATTGTTTTATTTAAAAAAAAAAATATAAGGAACCAGATTAATCACTTTACTTTAGCTTAAATACTAAGATTTTCACTTTTGAGTGATTTTTTTTGTATTTCAGGAGAAACAAATAAAGGGGCAAAACTTCATAGAAGCCTCCCACCACATACCAAATACCAGCTGTTAAGAAATAGTGGATTGAATTGATTTTTTGTGACTTGTCAAATTCTGCCTCTTTAAATAAGAACTTTCTAAACTCAAAGGCAGACCTCTGCCTTAGGTCTTTATATAGCAAGGATATAAAGGGATAATTTTATTGAAGGGATTGCTACCAAATGCCAAGGTAGAGTTTTGAGGTTTTTTTAAATCAATTTTTTTGTTCTACTTATTTATGAATTCATCAGTCGCTCCTTGTATGTGACCAGACTAGGGATCAAACCGGCAACCTTGGGGTATCGGGATGATGCTCTAACCCACTGAGCTATCCAACCAGGCAAAGTTTTGTTTTCATGTACCATCTGATCAGTTAAGTAGTCAAGAATCCTTAGAGTAGCAAAGTTCATTCACTTCATGTCAAAAGGGGGATATTAGATTTGCATATATAATCAGTTGTATAAACATACACAAATGATTACTCTGAATATTAGTGTTTTGGCCTTTTAATGTTTAATGTTGGAAGTTTTCTTATAAGAGATGTAGTCCCTGAATGAAAGAGGGCTCACAGCATGTTTTTGTTATTAAACCATATTATTAACCTGGTTTTTTATTTAAATGTGCCCTTTTCCCCAACTAGATTTCATTCAACAAATAAATTGCCCGTTTTGTGCCAAGCAACCTGTTTTACCACCATATGCTTTGGGGGAGGGAGTGGGAGATGAACTTGGGCCACCTTTGCAGCCTGAAATCATTTAGATGTTAAGATTAGGCTACTCGTTTTACGAAGTTAAATGGGTTTGTCTAATGCCAGGTTAAAGCTTCAATCCCAAATAGCCTGATTTCCCTCCATTCAGAACTAAATCAACATTGTACTGACTACATGTAAAAGGATATTATTGTAAGCTAGGACTTGAATCTAAAGACATTACACATCCAGTTCACATATTTATAAGCCATTTTATGTGAAAGGCAATTCAAGAAGATGAGGGAACCACTATGGGCCAGTGGGGAAAGTGTCAGGTGAACATGTTTGCTCTCCACCTACTTTTGTCCAACTCCTGCAGAAACACTGTTCTCACAATCAGCATCTCTGGGTCTGAAGCAGCATATTCTAAGTGTTTTCAGTATCTACACAAATTTGTGACTTCTCTACATACTGTCACATTTACCTTACCTCAGAGGGCAAACCCAAGATTCAGAAAAAGCATCCATACAGTCCTTGCTATTTCACAAAGAGCTCTTTGAACCCAAAAAGGACTCTTTCGGCTCTCAAGTGCCCAGAATGGACACTCTGCCTTCCTTATATAAATAACTAGAGGCCTGGTGCACGAATTCGTGCACGGGTAGGGTCCCTCAGGGTGGCCTGTGGGGATTGGGCCCCAGCTCTTGCCCACAGCATTGCAGCCCTGCAGCCCCGCCTGGAACCCCGCCTTGGCCTGGCACCGCCCCCTCACCTGCTCCACCATCCTGCCTGCGGGGAGATCAATTGGGGCCAGGCCTCCTCCCCGAAGCCCAGGTCCCTCAGCGCCTGGGAGCCGGGTGGTGGTCCCACCCCCCGCCACTGCCACTGGTCTCCATCTGCAGGGCGATTGGTGGGGCTATCAGGCCCCAATTGCACCCACCTTGGCCTCGCGCTACCAGCTCACCTGCTCCACCATCCCACCATGGTCCCACTCTTATAGGGGTCCATTGGGGCCAGCAGTGCCTCCACTGCCGCCCACTGCCAGCGCTGCTTTGTTGACGCCTCCTGGTGATCAGCGCAAGTCATAGTGAGCGGTCAAACTCCTGGTTGATCTCCCAGCTGCCCAAGGGGACAACTTGCATATTAGGCTTTTATTATATAGGATACTTAGAGGTAGTTTGCTGTACATTTCATGTGAAAGAACAGTTAACTCAGCTCACATCCACACCTGTTTTGGGACACTGCATAACTGTCTAGACTTCCCACCTGACTAGACACCCAGCCCACATCCACACTTATTTTTTGACATTGCATAACTTTATTACTTCCACCAATGGCTGAAGGGATGAGATGAGATTCCATGAAGTCCTTTTGCTACCTTTCCATAGCACTGGTAAAACTTTGGTTGAGGGGAGAAGAATCATAAGTTCCAATATCTTAATTTCAATTTATCCAAAATGAAAATAAAACTGTGGTTTCATGATCTCTGAAAGTCAATTTCCATTAACTAGCATCATAAAGGGACAAGGTACATAGAAACAATATTGAAAGTAGAGATGTATATTTTCATAGAAAATGTTATTGTAGTGTCCTGGCCAGTGTGGTTCGGTTGGTTGGGTATTGTCCCATGCACTGAGAGGTCACTTGTTCAATTCCTGATCAGAGCACATTCCTCAGTTTCATACTTGATCCCCAGTAGGGGATATGCAGGAGGCAGCCAATTAATGTTTCTCTCCCACCCCCTTCCTCTCTCTCTAAAATCAATAAAAACATTTGAAAAGAAGAAAATGTTATTGTAGATGTCCAACATTGCAGCCAATAATATGGTAAATGAACCAAGACTCTATTCACTATAACAATTTTATCTTTAATCTATCTGAAAATTGAATGTGTATTATTTCTTTAACAGTACAAATGGTTAGCAATATTAATGCAAGGCAGCATTCTATAGGTAGACAGTAGCATGGAATTATCAGCATTTATTTAAAAGTTAACATTTAAACTGTATTGTAATAAATACAAATACATTTATTTGGTTCTTATTTTCAAAATTACCAGTTTGCATGGCTTTCTACCTGAGCAATTCAAACAAATTGACAAAAATATCTTGACAAATTCTGAGCTTTCTTAAAACACTATCAGCAGCACATACAATGAAAAATATGAGAACAATTTTAAAGTTCAGGCCCTTACTTCATAGGACATAGAAAACAGATATGAGAAAACACTTTTGACCCAGTTGAATAACAGCACAACAAAGAATAACAATGTTAACTAATAGAAAGTAATGATAGTATTTTCAGTTCTGTTCCATTCCCTACTAAGTCATTCAGTTGAAAAGTACAATTATTCTCTTCCATATTTAAGTCCTACACAACAAAAAGAGGTTTAGTTAAATCTAGAATGTGTTACAACAAGACATAAAAACCCAAGGTTGTTCCAAAAGTAAACATAAAACCAGCATTTTTATTTTCTTCTAGGCCCCAGGATGGTATTTAGTTAGCAAACAAAACAAAACAAGACAGAAATTATTACACAGATCTAACTTAGCACCAGCTCTATTATACAAAAAATGTGCACATACTATTTTAAACTATTTTTATTATTTTATGTCTTTATGAGCAGCAGATTGTTTCCATGACTAAAAGCTCTACAAAGAAAAATGATCAAATAAGAAATTGAGGTGTTTTTGTATTCAGAACATATCTGTTTTTCATTATAAACCCATAACCTTGTTTCAATGGCATGAAACATGAGAAAATAAACAGGCAGGGTCTCATTGAAAGAGAATAATACCTGGTTGCAGAAAGTTGTCTGACAAAGTACAAGCCATTAATAGTTTTAAAAGGCTGCTTGGACAACAGTACTTTGAACTTTAATAGTCAATGCCAGTCTTCAGAAGAGAAAAGGCATTTGCCCCATGAGCGATTTTTCAGATTTGACAAGCCAAACCTAGTTTTGATGGTAGAATAACTGGCTTGAAAGTAGAATTGAAGAAAACAGTCAACAACTCATTTGTTGGTTATTATCTTAATAGTAAACATAACCTGCTTTGCTACATTCACTTCTGAACTTTTGCATGTACTAGCATACTTCTATTGAATGTGATTAGAAGACATTAATGAAACAACACGTGGCTCTCACCTTAGATAAATGAGATTTTCTAGCCCCTTCAGATATCAGGTTGCTCAAGAGGCTGGTTATGAATACAAGTTGTGCCTCTCACTCTGGGCAACCACATCGATTGGCATTCTACCTTGGCTTTACCAGCTGGTACTGTTCTATCAAGTTAGGACTATTGCAAATGAATCATGTGGTATGAAAATGTTGCCTTCTAATACTTCTATAGGTTAAAGTCACCATTTTTTGCTGCTGGTAATCTGATCTTATCAATGTCTTCAGTTGCTAAGTCGGGTATAGCTTTGTTGGAGATAAAAGGTCATCTACTGGCCCTGAGGTTCTAAATCCAACATAAGGCAGAATGAATCAGTCAAGCTTTCAACATAACATGCACTTCAGTAAGTCTTTACGAATCTGTAAAATATCTCAATGTAAAAAAACATATTCAAGAACTCCCAAAAACAGTAGGTAAAAAGATAAATTGCTTAAGAGTTTACAAATCTGGCACACATATGACTTTCCCCAGCTAGAAAACTATGGGCATTGCCTTTGACTCTTCCTAACTCCATGGCATTATTGAGGATTGAGGAGGCACTTGTTACTGTTTTAAAGTCATTTTGGGGCTATCCAGTGGCTTTTTACAAACTGATGTCATCCAACCCTGAAAGGATTATGTAACCTGAAATGGAATACTGTCATGTCTTCTCAAGTGCCCGAGGATCTTTCAATATTCCCTTTTGCAAGTCCCACTGGTTGTATCACTTCAATCCTGTTGCTTTTCTAGGCTGGAATGTCATAGGGTTCTTCAAAAACAACTCTGCTAATAGTCCACTGTCCCTTTAAGACTCAAAGGACAATCTGAGCCCCTTTTAGATGCTTCTTCCAATACTTTGTTTCTAAAAGGAAAACTCTGAGTACTATGAACATATTAAGAAGATTAATTTCCTTCTGATGGGTGCTCATGAAAACCTCTAATGATATGAAGAAGTCTATGTTCTAGCTGTTGTCTCATTTCTTTTATACATAGTTGTTTCTAGATGAAAGGTA